AAGAAGACAATTGATGTGAAGTGGGTTTACAAGGTGAAGGTAAATCTTAAAGGAGAAGTAACTCGACACAAGGCGAGACTTGTGGCGAAAGGATTTCTTCAGAAGGAAGGAAACGACTTCAATGAAGTATTCACACCTCTTGTTAGAATCAAAACAATCAGATTGGTTGTTGGTCTAGCAAATATGAACAACTGCCACACATGTCATATGGACGTGAAATGTGCATTCCTTAATGACCCCTTAGACGAAGAAGTTTATGTTGCACAACCAGCTGGATTTGTGAAACAAGGCGAAGAAAGAAAGGTGTACAGGCTTCATAAAGTCTTGTATAGACTCAAGCAAGCACATCGAAATAAGGTTCCATTATCTTCGAGAGCAGGTAGCAGAAGGGAAGATGAAGTTGGAACACTGCAGAACTGAGAATCAGATTGCAGATATCATGATAAAGGGAGTGCAGGTTGAAGCCTGCAGAAGACTAAGAGCCATGATGAATGTAGACAGTTTAGACACAATGAATTAGGTGGTGTGTTAAATGTAATTCATAGTGTGTCGAAGTCGAAATAGCAAGGAAGCAGTCGAAGTCTAAATCAAGTGTCGAAGTGTCGAAGCTTTCAGTGTGTCGAAACAGTTTTTTTTGACACAACTTTGTTTTGATGAGATTTGATATGATTTAGATTAAATTTGATTTTGAATATTTTGGGCCTTTTATGTTTTGGGCTTTTGTAAACCTAAAACTATAAATAGGGTGCCTTGCTTTGTATTCTACACAATATAGAACAGATTTCACAGTTGTAGAGTTTAGCAAGTGAAAGTTCAATAGCAATCAGAAATCCCACAGTTTGTGGGTAACACAATTTTTCTCCAAATATTTCTTCTCTCATTCTTCTCTTTCTTGCTTGTTTGTTATTCTTCTTTTCTTTTATTGTTATTGATAACTCTTTACTTGTTATCACCATTACTATCATATTGTGGGTTTGTTCATCAATCTTGAGATCAAGATTGAAGGGAATTCTTCATAGGGTGTGAGGTGAATTTCCAACATAAAGTGGTTAAAGATACAACCAGATCATTAAAGTTTGATGAACTTGGTTATCTGGTGATGGCATGTAAATGGAATATAACTCAAACCTCATTTCAAAGTAAAGCTCAAGCAAGTGTCTACAAGAATAAAGTATCTCACAATACTTGAAATGTGTGAAAGCTCGCCCTAACACATCTGAGTGAACATTGTAAAAGCGTAAGGACTTTATCATAAAGTTATACAACTAATCACACACACACGCACACACAAAAATAAATGTTTTAACATGTTTTTCTCAAGAAAATATTTCTAAAAATGTCTTGAAAGTGTGTTAGATGATTTGGGAACTGTTAGAAAAGTTCTGAGCAAATTTTTGTTCTTGCCAATTGTTTGCCACTTCTTCTAATGGATTGGGACAACTCAAAAATGTGCCTTAAACGATTAGGACAACATCTTAATGAGTGACAATGACTATGTATCTTTTCTCGGCTTTTAAAACAAGTCAAACAATTACTTTCATGTCAACCAATCGATTGGGGAATGATGTGAATCGATTAACTCATTAATTTTGGTCACACAAATTTTTCTTTTTTGTGCCAACCTCTAACCTATAAATAGAGGTTTCTTCCCACTCATTTTCACATCCATAAACATTAGATTTTATTCCTCACTCCTCACTCTGTCTCTAAAATATTTTTTGTTTATTTTCTCTCACAAAATTTTAGTCGTAGTGCTTTTGAGAAAGTCATTTTACAAGTGAGGAGATTGTAATTCTAGAATGGTAGATTTGTAAGTTCATAAGGAAGTTTGTTTTTACCTTGATTGAACAATTAATTGATTTAGAGATTATTTATTTGGAATCGAATCTAAACCCGTGAAAACGTTAGTTTGGAGATTGTGTGATCAAATCTCCATTTAAGATTAAATCGATGGTAAAATTTCAAAGGTTCTTGGTTAGTCCAGTGTAAAACCAAGATTAGATTCATGCCCTCAATCCGGTGTTAAAAGTTCTCCCAGGTTTAAGATCAACCTGTGTAAAACTTGGTTTGAACTTGAAGACTAACTGCTCCAAGTTTCTTATGCAAAGGAGACAAACCACTTTAAGTCATGGTTGGAAGGAAGACTCACCGCTTTTCTCTGTGTTTGTTGTTTGGTTGAAAGTTAGTCAAAAACTTCATTTTTCTCGTATAGAGGGGTTTGAGAGTTCAATCTACTAAAAGCTCTTAAGATTATTGAATATTCTTAAGATCAAAGTTTTAGGAGAAGATTATGTCTTTTTATTTGACCAGATCTCTATAGTTTCTAGTGTTTTTCTCTCTTCCTTTAACTTTTAATTTCTGTAGTTTATTTTCTGAATTTTATTTTCTAACACTTTATTTTTAAAATATTTTTAAATTATGATAATAATTCAAAAAAAAAATTTAACTTTAACTTTTTGAAACACATAATTCACATGTCATATGTAGAGTTACATGTCCAACACAAGTCGATATCAACGGAATAATTAATAATAAAAAAAATGAAACTTAATATATAAACAATAAAACAACGAACATTACCAATATACTCTCTCATTTGTTAGTTACATCACAAAACATCATATCTTATACTAAATAGAAGTACAACTCAAATAGAAAAAATATATAATCTTTCAATTTTTATTATAAATCATTTTTAAAAAAATATACATATTAAATTATAAATTATTTTATAATACCAATACATCATTAATATTATTTGTTATAATATATTTTTAAGAATTTATCATTCTCTCTTTTATTAATTACATAAATTAATTTTTTATATAATTAATGAAAGACCAATTTTTAAAATTATCTATGGTTTTTCTTTTTCACGTGCGATTTTTAACAATACCATAGGAAGAGGGATTATGTTTGATATGCTTAATAAATGTTTGTCCAAATTCTCAATATTTCACTATTTAAGATTAATTGTTATGCACTCATTTTTATATTGTCAATACATCACAATCATCTGTTAGTATTATTATCATCTGTTAGTATTATTTTTTAAGTGATTAGAAAAAAAGTTAAAACATTTATTTAAATAAATGGTTAAGATCAAAATGCTACTTAGATGAAAACATGCTAAAAGGATTGATAATTTCAAAAACCTCTTTGTCAATATTTTAACTTCAAAACCATCATGATAGCCCACCTACAATTCCAAGAACCAAAAAATAGGTAGTACTATATCTATGAGTCTACTTTTACATTAACCAACCGGAATACTTTTGAAAAACTTTTAAACCTAACTTGAGGCTAAGATATGGCTGACTTGGGAAAATATCTTTATCAATCATCATAATCTACAAATTCATTGCAGTGTCTTCATATGAGATTCAAGGCTAGGTGCAATTGCAAAGATGAATGTTTTTTTAGAATAGAATAATTGTATGCCTATGGACTAGTCTATGTACTACACACAGTGTGGGGCATGTGAACTACAAAACTTCACATCACAATTTGTTGTTATTGTTGTATTAGAGAGTGTCATAAACTGCAATGGCTTTGTGTTCATTTTGGAATTTACTACTGTCATGACAACAGCTTTTTTACAGTTTTACTGTAGCTCAACAAGAAAGGTTGGAGTTTTGTGCTCAATATAGCATTTTTCCTTTTTTTTTCCTTTCCTTTCTTCACTTGTGCTACAAAACAACAACATCAAGCCAAGGCATGATTTGGGCCAATTGCTTGTTTTGTAATGTTCGGGAAAATTTTCTTGTGTCACCAATCTTTGGCGTTTGTGTATACAGTATACAATACAAAAATAATACACATAATTACAAACAGGGCGTCATCTATTATGGGTTTATATTGGGTAAATAGTGAACCTAAAGAAAGTGAGATCTAGAAGGTAAAAAGGCAAAATGTTGAAGGAATAAAAGAGACTAGTTCCTTTGAACAGTGGAAGGAATAAAAGAATGCTGAGTGAGAGTGAAAAGAAACATAACTAAAATTATTATATTTTTTTATGAAAATATTATGTATTTATAAAATGATATAAATATCTTTAAATAAAAGAAAGGTATTGGTATAACTCTCCCAACTAAGAACCGGCCGATTCTCAAATTGAATTGGTTATTTTAGAGCCCACATCACTTTTTTTAGACTTTCTTTCTTCCATGATAGTAGCATTTCAAAGAAAGTTAGTCTCAATGTTTCACCTTTTCATTCATCTTCCTTTCTCAGCATTCAAACACAACACTAAAGTTAACACAAGAGTCTTTGTTACTTTAAAGTGAATAAACTTGGATCTTAGTGAGAATCTTTTTTTCCACATATCTTATTAAAGAATCATTGTATCAAGAAACGTTTTTTAGACCTAAAGTCATTGTTTCACTAGCCTATGACTAGGACCAAGAGTTGGGTAGACCCAAGAGTTTGATAGAACTGGGCTGCACTGCACACTTTTTTTCAGAAGTTCCAGAAAATGAATGGGCCCTTATGACAAAGTACAAACCAACCAACACAAGATGTCCTAATATCTGTTCTTTTTCCAAATATAGGGTATCTCCTTGTTGATATATGTATATACATATAAAAGCATAAATTTGAAATAAACTGACTTTTGAATACTTTTGAATTATTATTAAAATTACTTCTAAATCATACATATAATTGTGATTCAATCACAGTTTATCAAAATTAAACTCCTGTAAATCATAATAGTAATATAATTTTTGTGAACACAATGTTTTCAATTTTCATTTTGCAGAAGTTTAACATTTACAAGGGAATGACTTTTGTTCTGATGTTAAAACAAAAATTAAAAGATGATTAAAAGACCTAAATAAGACTAACAACCGGATGCCAATTTCCATGTCCTGAGCTGGTGGTACCAAAGCACAAGTATATGCTAACAAGAATAATTAAATTTAAGGGCTGAAGGGTTGCATTGCAAGGTAGAGGTGTACATACACAAGGAAAATATGGAAGTTGATTGAGCTGATGACAATTCACCCAGAACCTTCAGTGGTTGCTTTTTCTGCAATATATTAAAAACTTGGTCATAAATGTATGTAACAGGAAAATAGTATTTAATAATCTAATCAATGCAAACTAGGATTAAGATTATAGTCCATATTTTCAAATAATTAGATGCGATAAGCGCCTCTTATCATTTTTACAATTCGGTATCATAACTTGTAAGTACTTTGACGACACTGTTATCCAAATTGAAACCAATGTATAGCAAATAGTATCACTATTTTATCTGCTTGTTCAAAAGTATCTAATGCATGTTTGATTCTCTTTGATTTACGAAGGAATAGCATCATACACTTTGGTGACCTTTAGATATTATAAATCGTATTGCCAACTTCTGATCAGTTTGTCTAGTAGTCAATTCTAACTGCAAGGTATATACCTCAAGTCCTTTGGTTCTCATCAGAATCATATCTTAGACATTTAACTTTACAGGGTTGTCAAAATATTCTGTGGCCCTAGCAGCAGATTTGGCTGAGTTTGATTTTTGCAATTGGTATGCTAAAACCCTATTTGAAGAATGAATTTTACCTTGGACACTGCATAGCATGTTTGACATTATTGAGGCAAACAAGTCTGGTTTCCAAACTTGTTTTTAACCTCCTAAACTTGAAAACAATAATTTGTTTCTTTTGAGGTGAGTAGATGATATAAAATGAAAAGTCATATCTTTCTTGGTAATTATACATTGAATCGTCTAAGTGTTTCTCATTAATACTAATTAAATAAGATTCCTCGCGTCAAAATTATTAGACTAAATTTCACTTTGATTCAAAACCAAGTTTGACAAACCAAATTTACTCAAGATCAAATTTATAAAAACGCTAACAGAAAAACACACTTTCTACATCAAGCCGGGTCAGCCATGATGACTTGGGGCGACCTGATAAGATAATTATTGTGATATGCAGTATGCCAACTAGAATGAATGATCCCAGTGTTTTGTACTGGTGGGAAGTGCATGTGGGTTCAAGAGTGTCCTTAAAGTATATAACATATTGTTGAGCACTGAGTATAATGAAAAAAGTTGACAAGTTACTTTCTTCAAAAGGATATCAATCAGGTCACAGGTTGGTTAAGAAGAGAAGACCCTGAAATTGCACATGATGATGCACTTATGCAGTTCAGCTAATTAGCATGCATGTAATGGAAGACAAGAATAATAAACATTAATTATAGCACAATCCAGTATTCCAGGGGTATTTGTGTGGGAAGAAGTATAAATGATTCATTTGTGGTAGACAGAGAAACTCATAGTTTGAAGTTCCAATAGTACGCCTAGACATGTTATTCTTGGGCAACTTGGATGTCCAACACAAGCACAAATGTTTTAGCCGGTTGAGATGATAGAAGCACATAACAATCAGGCTCAAATTACTACTAATAATGTTACTTGCAAAAATAAAGAACAATGCCAATTTATACGGTATTAGAATAAATTTGAAGTCATTTGACTAAAATCACTTGCCCAATAAAAAAAAAAGGAAAAAATTATAATAGGTTGGCTTAATTATTCAGCTTTTGTGCCATAGTTGACATTTTCCTTAATGAAATATGTAACAGTGACTACTTATTAAATCTTTAACTGTACTGTCTATAAGGTGTTACTTTAGTAGTAAGGATTTTTCAACCTTATAATTGATAACCTCATGGAACGGAGTTCAAACTTCTTTCGGAACAGTTGTAAAATGGTCATTAGTGTTACTTTAATTAATAGTAATAATTTATCACTCGCCCAATTTTTTTATAAATAAAATTTTAGAACTGTATAGAAATAGATCAATCACAAAACAGATAGCTGATAAGACAAATAATCAAAGTGAATTTAGTTTTAACTTTGCAGAGTAATAAAACCGTGTACTAACAGAGAACATTGGAAAAGGGGAGGATAAGGAATTCCAACACTAGCAGTTAGAAACTATAAGAAAATAGCTATAGGATTAAGGCTTTGGAGACGTGTATATACCATGAGTAGTGCCAGTAGACATAATGCGATCTATATTATCAATCCGCCCTTGTATGGATTTTAGAAGTGAATTCAAGGATGAAACTCTTTTCCTAACACTAGATATCTTGGCAGCATGTTGCATTATGAACGGTAAAGGTGCATCTTCGAGTAACTGATCAAGTTCTGCCCAAAAAACACAAATTTTAAACTTTATTTAGAAATTATGAGATCCTAGAGTTATAGGAGAAGCTTTAGCAAAGGCATTAACATTAAGCAAAAACAAATTGAATAGCAAGTTAACAAAGGCAGACCATATTAGAACATTACAGCAGCAAGTTCGACATGGTAATTAAGATTTCAATGGCGGCCAAGAACAATATTTTTGTCTTCGTGCACACAACTAGATATTTTAGCCATCTTGGTAAGAGTGAAGTGTTTCTTTGTTCCGATTGTATAGCTCATGGAATATCTATACAGCTCTATGGTGCACCAAACTTGTGGGTTCATCGTTCTCACTTCATGGAAAAACATTCTTTGTTGGGGACCAAGAAATGGTTCTTTCATAAAATTTGCTACACTAAACCATACGGTTGCCAACTTTCTTATGCAACTGAGATGAATGGAATGTGATCTTGTGTTTTAAAATAAAACAGTTAAAGCAAGTTGTTCATTCAAGTACTTACACTTCCTAGTAAAACACTAGACTTCCCAGGCGAGAGGATAAGATGTGGATCCTAATAGAACTTGCCTATTTCGACCATATAACTTACCACTAGCATAACTTATTTTATTCCTATTTTTAGATTTTTTTTATCGTTAAACCAAAGGTATATATACAAAATTAATACCAAAATCATCAATCCCGATAGCCAATTCAAAACTCCCATAAATTGAATCTGGCAGCACCACAAAAGAAAAGTGTTAGGACCCCATATGAGAAATGTGGGCCAAATGAGCTGTCAGTTCAGCTGTAACTCCCTAGCCCAGTACCCAACGGGCTTATGCTAGAACTAGAAGGAATAGAATACTCATTCTTTTGCAGTCATATTTTTCATTCTAAATAATAGTATGCTGTTATTTCAGCATTTGTGCATTGTATTTCTTTTTTTGAATTGTTGTGATTCAGATATGCAACATATAGTCCAACCTATCAGATTCGTCTTGGCAGGATCAATGTTTTACCCTGTGTTTGGTTAAACGAGAGAAATGGAAAGAGAGAAATTAAAAAAATAAAAGTGTGCTCAATTTGACAAGGGAATGGGAGAGATTTTAAGACAGGGAAAGTGCAAAATTACATTTTTCTTGAATGATGGTATTTCAAATGACATTAAATGAAATGACATCTATAAGATCAAATGGAAAAAATGTGCTCTTCATCCAAATTCCCCCATTTTGAAGAGATGAAATTAGACATAATATATTGTAAGAAATTCCACTCACATTACCTGTAAAAAATTCCTAAACAAAACTTTTATTTCGACTAAAATCACATGAGAATACCTTCCAAAGTCCAAACAACACAACATGAATAGAAAAAAAAATTACCTATGTTCCTTAAAAAAAGAGAATCAAAACAGTAAGGATAGAAAAAAAAAACTTATTGAATTAAAAAAACAAAAAGAAAAAAAGATTAAGAGCAAAAAGCTTTGCCTAAAAGATTAACAGAAAAAAGAACAGAGGAAAATATAGTTTAAGGGTGATGGGTGATGAATGAAAGAGTATCGTTTCATGATAAAATGTCATGAGTAACCTTGCTAACAGTTAAAAATTAAATGTAATAGCATATCAAGCTGACAAGGGCGCTCCCAGCCACGTCAGACTTGTGCTGTTCTGAACCCACTCTTGTAACTGCTGCTGCACCAACTGTGCCGCTCTGACACAGCTGGTAGCGATTAGCTTGGTTGTGCTGTTCCAGGCCGAGATAACGGCCATTCCAGCCTAATTTGATAACATAGGAGCAAAGGCTTCCCTTTCAACAGCTATTGCACAAGGAGAGATTTTGGAGAATCTGTTGTCAACTTTTAAACCAGCAGAAAGAAAATGCCGAGGAAGAAGTTGCACGGGAGAAAGAGTCTAATCCTAGAAACCAGCATCTTCCAGATTTGTGACTTAAAGATAAGTCTGTTTTTCAAGAAGGTGGCGATATTAGGACCCCATAAGAGAAATGCGATCAAAAAGGGCTTTTAGTACAGATACAACTCTTTAACCCAGTACCCAGCGGGTTGGTGCAGAACTAGAAGGAATAGGAAATAGCAGAGTGAGTTTATTGGGACACGTGGCAAAGTGAGAGAAGTTAATCAGTGTTTCATTTTGTATTAGTTATGGATAGAGAATATTGTTCTCTACAGGAATTTGGTTATATGGACATTAGGATATTCATCATTTTGTAGTTATCTTTCACTTTTAGAAGTAATACGTTGTCTTAAAATTTGGATTGAGCCAATCTCAATCCTATAAAACCACTCAATTTTATAAAACCACTTTGTAAGAGCTGCCTAAACTTTATAAACACTGCATAGGTTAAAATCTCTAAGCAACGTGGAACTAAATTGACCCTTCACATTCAATACTATGGAAGTGTTGGAGGCTGCAACAAAGACAACCCAAATACAAAAATTTGGCGGTTAGGGTCAGAATGCAAATAAGGGCAAGTTTCATACACACCCCCTCATACTCGGGCCCAAATGAGTCTGAAGTGTGAACGATGCGGAAAGTCCAACAAGTCTTGGCTAGACTCTAATACCATCTTAAAATATGAGTTAGGCCTAACTCAACCTTACAAAACCGTCTTGTAAGGTGAGGGTCGTCCAATCTTTATAGACACTACATACACCATATCTCTAAATAATGTGGGACTAAATTCACCCTTCATACCAACACAATAAAGATGTTGGAGGCTGCAACAAAGGTAAACCAAATGTCGCAATTCGGTGGCTAGGAGCAGACCACAATGAAGACAGAATTTCCAGCACACCCAACATGCTCAGGCCTCAATTAGACTGAAGCATAAACAATGCGAGAAGCCCAATAGATCTAGGATAAACCATTATACCATCTTAAAATTGAGTTCGGTCTAACTCAATCTTACAATACCAGCTTGTAAGGTGAGAGTTGCCTAAGTTTTACACTTCAGTGCACAGACCATATCTCTAAGCAATGATAAACTTTAACACAACCCTCGTCAGGTACTATCGGACTTAGTGCGTGGATATAAATGGTGGGTGACCTGGTAGCACATGGCCTAACAGATGTTGGATAGACTTTGATATCATCTTGGAACTTAGGTTGGACTAGATTCAACCTTACAAAACCAACTGGTAAGGTGAGGGTTAGGTCTAACTTAACCTTACAAAACTGGTTTGTAAAATGAGGATTGTCCAAATATTACAAACACTACGGAAGCTATACCTCTAAGCAATGTGGGATCAAATTCACCCCTTCACAAGGCAATGAAGGAAACCCAAAGGATGCAATCAGGCGGCTAAGGATGGACCGCAATGATTGCTGAATTTCCAACCCCTCACCCCATGTTTGGGCCCAAATGTGTTCGAAGCATCGATGATGCTGAATCTAACAACAAATTTAGGAACTTAGATTGGACTAGACTCATCATTACAAAACCAGCTTATAAGGTGAGAGTTAGGCCTTACTTAACCTTACAAAACCGATTTATAGGTGAGAGTTGGGCCTAACTTAATCCTACAAAACCAGTTTATAAGATGAGGGTTACCCAAATATTACAAATACTACATAGGATATATCTCAAAACAATGTGGGATCAAATTCACCCTTTCACAACGCAATGAAGGGAACCCAAATGTCGCAATTATGCAGCTAAGGACAGACTGCAATAAAGGCGGAATTACCAAACCCACCCCATGTTCGGGCCCAAATGAGCCTGAGGCATGGACAATGCGTAATTCAACAACAGATTTAGTATAGACTCTGATACTATCTTGTAATTTAGGTTATATCTAACTCAACCTTACAAAACCGGTTTGTAAGGTGAAGATAACATACCATATTTCTAAGCAATGTGGGACTAAATTTACTCTTTTCACACCCAACACAAAGAAAGTATTGAAGACAACCCAAATACCACAATTAGATAGCTAGGGGAGGATCACAATAATAACAACAACCAAGCCTACCAAACATTAAGTAGGGTCGGCTATATGGATCAAATTTCACCATAATATTCTACCCAAAACCATGTTTCCAACAAATTGTACTTTTAGTATTTGTGCATTTTAGATCCTTTGGCATTTTTGTTATGCAACAAAAAATCTTTTCTCAAGTTGAGAGACTTACATAATTATTTCCAAGGGTTGAATAATTTTATAAAGGAAAAGAAAATGAAAATTAAGATAGTACTGGCAATAAAAGCTTTACTTATTTAACCTTAAATTAGAAATACTAAGGTTATCAAAGCTACAAGAGAAAGGACTACAGCTGCTACTTGCTGAATGGCACAAAAACTCTCTTTTCAACCTACATTCCAGCAAAGAAAACCATCTTCAAATGCTTATGCAGGGAACAAAACCTCCAGAAATCAAAATCTTCCCGGTACACCTCAAGTCGCGAACTTCATATTTTTCCTTTCTTTCCATTAAAGATAAGTAATAACAGCTTATATCATCTTTTAAGTCTTTTGTGAGATTTTCAAATAAAAAGTTAAGAAAGACTATAACCATAGACAGTGAATTGCAAGCATGTAGTAAAAGTGCTAGTATAACTATGTAATTCAATATTTATGTGTTGGGCCCATTGAGTATGTTTTCCCTTGGTTCTATAGTAGGTTAAACAGAACAGTCCCAATGTTACTACCTACTTCACCAGTTTAAAGAGTAGCACTCAAACTAACATCCTAGAATAACAAGAAAAATAAACCTAGAAGATTTTGGACCCGATGGCCTATCTATGCACATGCATATTCACTAGTTGATATTCTTTCATTAAGTTTCTAATTTAAATAAACTTCCATACAAAGACAAATATCTATAAACTCATAATGACTTTCCAGCAAGTAAAGATCTGTGTAATTATTTTAATTACGAAGCACCTAAACTCGGCCTTAGATTATTTTGGTATCTTCATAAAATAACCAAAAAAAAAAAACTATTATCAAGTAGGTGAAGCCTAAGCCAAGAATTGACTTTATCAAATTTCAGAAAGAGCATTTCTTAATACATCCTATATACTACTTAAGCACCACGTGAAAATCCAAAAATGCTCCTTAGATTACAGAGATGCATCTCCGGACGCATCTCATGCAATACAACTCATTTGTTTTTGAACCATACCCCAATTTTATGACTTAAATTATTCTGGAAATCATTTCTGGAATGTCTCCGGAACTCTTTGTTCTTCCAAATTTTGCTTGTGTCTGAAATGATCAACAGTGAGTTACATCATGATTTTCAGCTGAAGTATCGATACATCCACTACATGTTCAACTTAAAGAACAACATCCCTTCAGAAATCATAACAAAACCTACCCTTATAAAACGTTCCTACATGGCCAAAGGGCCTATTACCCTTTTGGCCCAGTAAGGTAGCATCTGCCTAACTAGAATACTATTGAAAATTTGAGATGTTGTCATGCCCTTCTAGAAGATGTTCCTTTGAGTAAGATTTGAGATCATGGCATCCGGAGAAGACTTTGCCATGTTTGGCAGTTTGGGTCTCAGAAATGATCTCAAACAGGACACATCATGACTCTTTTGCTCAATGCACCATAAGAGAGCAACACCATTCATCACAACTACGTGCACTATTTTAAAAACTCCTACTCTTAAAACACTCTCACTAACTAACATGAATGTCAATGTTCTTTTGCAGTTAGCTATCATCACAAACGACCCTATCGATGAGGTACTGCCACAGTAGATGGAGGATCCTACCTCGCTTGGATTTCAGACAGAACATCAATAATTGTAAGCACAACACCAAATCCCTCCAATATTATTAATAATGGCACAATGAACCTCCAATATAACAAAAACAATAAATCTACTTACAAGTTGCAATACATCAAGGCATATACACAAACAAGTCTAATTCGATATTTGATGACATAATCAAGCATTAAAATAATCTATCACAATAATTAATTCGAAATTTGAACACAATGTTGTAAAATCAGCAGAGAAAGAAAAAAGATACCTCCGGTGAGACGATCGATAGAGGAAGAGAGGTGATCTTGGCTCATGAGAGTTTGTTGAGCTCTGAAATCGAAATCCCTAATGACGGAGGAGAGGATCGAGGACAAGCCTTTCGCCAAAACATCGGACCTCTTCTCGAGGGGATCTCTGGTGTTATTGGTTCCAGAAGCATTCTCGCCGGCGAGAGAACTCGAAGGTTCCGTTTGAACGACGACGGGGTCGTTTTCATCGGCCGAAGTGTGGTGAGTGTCACCTGAGGTTTCCATTGTCGCTCGACTCAGTTACTTCATCGTGTTTTTCACAAATAAACCAAACTAACCCTCAATTTTACGGTTTGCTAATATAAAAAATAACAGTAAGAATAGATATCATATCACTTTTAGTTTTTTTTTTTTCAAAAGAACTATAAAACTAATTTAATTTATTAAAAATAATTAATATAAATTTTCTTTTTCAATAATTAGTGGTTGGAATTCCTGCGACTAATATTTTTTCACATAATTAGTGTAAATTTTAATTCTATAAGAATTTAATTATAATTTTGGTATGTATTATTTCTTTTTATGGTCTTCTAATTTTGAATTTTGAATTTTTTTTCTTTTTTTAATGTTTTTCTAGATTCTAATATCTCTTAATTTAATATCAATTTTTAATGTCACAAACACCATATGAATTATTATTTATTTTATTAATAATATAAACTATTTTATTTAAATAAAAACTAAATTAAATTAAATAAAAAAACAAAACCATCATCTTCAAATATATATCTTAATTCTTCATAATCTTCAACGAAGTCAAAGTCCCAACAAACTCTTTAAAAAAAATCCTAAAATTCAATTTAAAACCTTCATCATCTTCAACAAATTTAAAATTAAAATTAAAACATCCTAGAAAAAATCTTGATTGCAACATGTGTGTCATTCTATGTGCCAAAAAAAAATTCTGCAAAGTACATCAAAAAATAGCAAGAAAGTTATATATATCATATTAACCTAGGTTTCTTCATGGAAATTTAAATCATGAGAAGAATTTAAGTAAGTTAAATTGTAATTTTGATTTTGGTATTTTTTTTTTATTTTTTTTTTGTTTTTCTATTTTTAAACTTGAAATTTTAGTTTTTTATTTTTTATTTTTTATTTCTTATTTTAAAATAGAAGAATCAAAAGTAGAAAAATGAAAATAGGGTGACCAAAATTGCAGTTATGCTTTATTATTAACAATCTTAAGCCTCAAGTTTAAAAAGAAGTCATTTGACGCCCTCCATCTAGGGGGTGACTGGAGGTTAATATTGATGGCACTTCTGGAAGGATTTCGGTTAAGGCCGTTTGTGGAAGCATTTCAGGGATCACTATGGTGATAATATATGTAGCTTTGCTTGTAATTTAGGAAATGAGAGTGCTCCTTTTGCAGAGCTTATAATAGTCATTTTGGCGATTGAGCAGACAATCGATCACAATTGATCTAATTTGTGATTATAGAATGACTCTAAATTAGTTGTTTTGACATTCAGTAAACCGTATGTTGTACCGTGAAAAATCAGGTACAGATGGGACAATTGTATGCATTAGATAGGAAATTTTTATTTTTGTATAACATACATTTACAGGGAAGGGAACCATTGCGCAAATAAGCTAGCTAACTTAGACTTAGATCTCAATAATTTTATTTAGTGGAGTGGCGTTCATTGTTGAACCGGACTTCCATAAAAATATATTAGGTCTATCTAATTTTAGACTTAGATATGTTTGAGATTTTGGCTCAATGTCTCATATATTTTGGGAATTTCTTAATGCACCCTATATGTTTCTTAGGCTCCACGTGAAAATACTAAAATGCCTCCAAATTTCAGCGATACATCTCCGGACACACCTAAGTATGACTTAACGTTAAAATATTTCAAAGATGCATCTTCAGACATATTTCAGATATGCATCTCTGGAATATTTTGGAACTTAAATCGCGCTAGAATCCTTCTTCTTTCTCATTTCTGGATATTTCTCAAAACCACTTCAAACTCTTTCAAAATTTATCATCAACAAGTCCAAAATCACACAAGGCTCAAGGGAACTTCAATCAACATCAGAAAACATCATCCAACACTTAAGCAAAGTTGAAATTTGTAAGTGTTTTGATGTTTTGAATTTTTTTTTTAGTTTTTGTGTAAATGAGTAAAAATTGATTATTAAGGTTATAAATGGGTAGAAATTGCATGTATGATAGTTTTGACATAGTATAAAACACGATTGTTGAATAGAAAGGATGATTAAAATATTATTTTTTGTGATTGCATGTGTACATTGACGCCATTGATGCAACCTGTGTTGCTGAAAGTTCTAGAGATGCATCTCTGGAATTTTTCAACGTTTTAATTTCCCAGCAATCGAAGATGCATCTTCGGAATTTTCTCAATAACTTATTGTATTTTCTTGGTTGTGGTGTAGTTTGCTTAGACTAATTGTTTGTTTTACTTTAACTTACAAGCAAAATGGCTGATATACATGATAGACTGGGGCATGAGAGGGTTGCACAACACGCATCAATGCGGCGGGAGAAGATTCAACAAGTTTCAGAGGCTCCTGGTCCCTCTGGTCATCCAGAGCCATCTACTTGTTAGAACCGTGGTTCTTTTCATACTTCTTCATTTTCTTCTTCTTCACGTAGGAGGCGAATTTCACCTATTGACACATCACTCCCTCCATCCTCCTGCAAGCACCAGGTTTCACCTACTCAGGCGCCTGAGGTACACAAATCACCAGTGTCACCCCCTACTGTTGATAATATAGATGCTTCTGAGCCAGTATCACCTCCTACTGTTGATGTTGCCGAGTCAGTGCCACCTTCGGAGGGTGAGGCTGTCGTGGATGTTGAGCCAGAGGCATTTAGAGGAAGCCCTGTAAATTTTTCACTACTACCTATGTACCCATACCATAGTGGCAAACATATTTGGGACATACATATAACATTACTTGGATTCATTCTTTTTTATTTACGTTTATTTTAACTGACAAGTTTCTGACATTGATTTTTATTTTTTTCAAGACTGTGATCCACTGAAGTTAATTAACCACGGGCAGAAGGTTTGTGGCTTGCCTCAGCCGGATGAGGATTGGTTTTAGGAAGCTTTGTTCATATCTGGCATGAAGGACTTATGCGTGACTGGTTATACTACGGTCAACCACGGGATGCATAATGCATTCGTGAGAGATGACACTCAGAGACCTGTTCATTTAATCTCTCATATGAGACGCAACCATTTGACGGGATAATATTATAGTCTGGATGGTTGGCTTGCGGATCATGTATGACTACTCCTCATCTGCCTGAGCACGTCATACAACAATTCGGATACACTCAGACCATTCTCAGACACCTTGTTGTCTTTACTCCTCCTACTTTGACACGCAGATAGATGGATGACATGTTTGATTATTATGAGAGTCATATAGTACTATATGAGGCACTGAGTATTATAGTTGTGAGCGACTAGAGCTACGTCAACGAGTATATTATATGGTTCTTCATGGTGTCACATTCGTACATGGTGCATGCTGCTCTAGGAGATCCGTCGAGGCGAGCTCATCAAGAGATACTAAAGGAGGAGGTGACACAATTAGATCATGTCAAAGATGTCTTTTCTGGATATCGTTGCATAATGGAGATTATACAGGCAGACATTGACACATGTATCTTCCTTGATGGGTCTGATGTGAGGCTTGTCCAAAATTCCATCATGACAGAGGTCTGGGGGCATTGATGTATCAGAGACAACTCCGAAGGGGAAAGAGAAGATGTAATATGACTTACACAGTAATGAATTAGTATATAGTACTAGTATTATGGATTGTATATTATTTTGACATCATGATACTTGATCGTTGTTCTCAACTTTTTTTACATTTATTGGTCTTTTATTTATATATATTACATTTTTGGACCATCTTGATTTATGTACGTCATTTTTTTCACATCGATTGTGCGACTTAAATCTCGTTACATAACATGGGTACATAGACGTTTATAAATATTCATCTGAATACACGTAAATAATGCATAACATGAAAGATTTTGTTCTGATATGTTACAGAGATACATCTCCGTAAAATTAACGAATGTGCATCTCTGGTATAATAATCTTGTATAATGGCTTCTGAGTGTGATGCATGATATATTTTTTAAATTGTTACGGAGATACCTCCAAAATATTTTAACATTCAATTAGAATTTAGTGCGTCTGAAGATTCATTTCTAAATTCGAGGACATTTTAGTATTTCCACATGGTGTGTAAGTAACATATAAGATGCGTTAAGAAATTTCTCTATTTTTTGTCCTCTTTATTAATATATCTTGTGTAATACATTAGTGCACCACCCTGACTAAATATATTATTCATAGAGTAACATGTGGCTTCTCTACCCATACACTCTAAAGTTATAATAATACATATGTAAGAGTTTCTTGATGGTTAGGAGGCATAAGAAAATGTCATGTATAATATTTATTGTTGATCATTATTTGTTACAGGTTTGCTATGTTTACACTCATTCCTACACCCTACACCAAATTTACTATTCACAAATACGTGAACAAATTTCTCAAAACATGGTTAATAGTATGTATTTTATTGGTTAATGAAGTAGTGAAAGTGGTTAATAAATTATAGGTAAAATAATTGGCTAATGATGTAGATTTTTGTGGTTAATACAACTGTGAAGTTGATTAATACGCAATCTTATATTTGTGTTATAAAATAAATTTTAAAAATAAATATCTTTTTTTTAAAAAAATTAATATTTTTAAAAAATATATTATTTTAATAAAAAATATTGTTCACCGTATAAATACAGCAAACAGTAGATACGATGTAAGTATTTATGTGAAAGAATGAGTGTAAAAATAACATTTTTTTAATTTGTTATTATCTTTGAGAATGATGAACCACACCTTTACATGTTTCCATGTGCCTACTTTCACGTTGATGGTTTGATTTTTAAATATTTTCAGTGTGTTGTCATAATATTAATAAAGAAAGAGAATTGTAGCTTAAGCATAAGGTATAATTTTGATATTTTTCCTTTTTTACTTAGTAAATAAAAAATTGTTTGATCATTTTGTAAATATTTATGCTAATTAAATAATTTTTTGTACTTAAGGAGTAGTGCAAACTTCTGTCACAATTAATTATTATTATGAAATATTGACTCTTACAGACATTGATGTGTGTTGTTTGTCCATTTAACTCACTCAATTGACCACATAATAAAG